GTCATGAATGCTCAGGCTAAAAGGAGTCTTGACCAGGACCCTGTTGTGCGCACTCAGGAGATAAGAGCGAAAGTCAAGGTGAGTGTGTCATCTTTTGTCTGGACGGTCAGCGTGACACATGGCGTTTCCCTATAAATCTTTGACCTCATCTGGATCGGTACTGGCTTCCCTAATGCATTATTGCCAGTACATACATTTTCCCTAGTTGGCTGCACGCAGTACATTGAACCCCTACATGTCCCAGCAGGTGCTGTTTGTCCTTCTTTTGAGGAAACAGACACCATTGAGAGCAGTCAGTCCTGCCCCCGTGGAGGGGAGACCAGCATGTGTCAGGTGTTAGCATTAATCCTGTGGGAGAAAAGGAAAGTGGGTCAGGATGCTCAGCTGTGCAGGGCAGCAGGTTGGGCATTGACCAGGGGCGCCTTTCACCGTGCTAGAGTCCTGAGAAGAAAACAGAGGGCTTGTCTGGTCACATGTGAGGAAGTCCGGGGAAAATTGGCCGTTTTAGCCACTTTGTAGTTCTGAGCTATAGACCGCATCTTGAAGTGACTTAACCTCAAGTCCCTTCCATATTATGGAATTCATGATTCCCACATTTTATATTGCAGCCATAAGGTAGCATTTATAGCCACCTAGCAAGTCCCCAAGAAACCCTAGGAGGTAGTCACTTTGATCAGGCTTGTCACTATGGTTTGTATAGGTTTGATGAGACAAATGGAATTGGGTAAGAAAATCCTGAATCGGGAGTGTGGGGAAGTAGTTGAGTGAACTGGGTGGATCAGAGCTAAAATCTAATGGCTAATTTTGTCTTCTTAGGAACTGAACAGCTTTTGTGAGCCTGTTGTAACTCAACCCAAACCAAAAATTGAATCACCTAAACTGGAGAGAACTCCCAATGGCCCAAATCTTGACAAGAAAGATGATTTAGAAGGCAAAGATAATTTTGGTGCTGAAGCCCCGCATCAGAATGGTGAATGCCACCCTAACGAAAAGGGCTCTGTCAACATGGACCTGGACTAGGCTCTGCGCCAGCTTCCCCTCTAAGTCATGAAATGTTTGCCATAGTATGTGACTCTGTACAACAGACTTGAGTATTTATATTTTCTTTCTTTTTTTTAAGACTGTCTAGAAATTTTGTGTATTATATGGGGGAAAAGAAAAGCTTGAGTCTGTAGTCTTGGCCCTAAGGGAGAATGACCTTGGTGACAGAGTCCTGTGGCAGTGTGACCCACACTGAACGCTGTGCAGTATTGCCTCTTGGACCGCTGAGGAGTTGAGTTTCTTTTGAGGAGACAGACTCTGCCTGCTTTTCAAGCGCTCCGTGATTGGAATCTCGGAGCAGTGCTTCTCACCAAGGTGGTTTTTTTTTCTTTTGCATTTTTCTCTCCATTTCCGCATGTGTGTGGCTGTGGGTGTTTATAAATGAGATTAAGTCTGATTTGTAAGGGCTTTCAAAAATTAAGTCTGCCCCATAGAGTGATTTTGCTTCCATTATTACACATTCAGCGAGTGCAACGCAGCTAGTGACCTGTAGCAGCATGCAGAGCAGGCTGTAACCATCACCACAGTGCACTGTCCCGTGGAGGTGCGACAGACACGGGAGATGTATGGATCATGTGATCATTGTGACCACCTCATGAGCTTTAGAATAAAGTTCACCCTGTGGTGTCGTTTCTAAATGGCTCACTTTGTCGCTGACTCAGAATGGTATTGGGGGACAAGTACATCTTAAAACATGGCACCTGCTGGAAACCCCACCCTGGAAGACCCTGCTGGTGTCCATGACTGTCCCCTTGTTCTCTGGTGACTGACCAGCTGTGGGTCAGCTAGTCATTACCCACCCGGGGTTTCTCTACAACTATGAGCCCAGAAGGTTCCTGGAAGTGTTGCCCGATACTGAAAATTCACATCTGTGGTGGATTCTGGTCTGAAGCCAGATTCCACCTTGGATGGGTTTGAGTGTTCTTTAGGTGTTCTGTGTCCTTCGAGGTTTTGCTACGTAGAGTTTTTTGAGCTTAGCGTGGCGTGGCTCCCTAGGGCAGGGAATCATGGTTGTCAGCAAGTGGCAGAGGAAAATTCTTCACCTGGTGTCAGCCGGGAAGCCCAGAAAAAACAGATTTGGTCAGTATCGCCTTCAAAGGCACACCTTCCAGTAAGTCTCCTGTCTCCTCAGCCAGCGTGCCACAGCTAGAGACATCACTCAAGTGCAAGGCTGTGTGTTGTGTGTGTCTGAATGAACTCTGGTCCTCTGCAAGAGCAGCAAATGTTCTTAATTGCTGAGCCGTCTCTCCAGCCTATAGGTTCTGTCTGCTTCTGTCACTTAGCATCTCCAACATCTGTACTCCAACTATTTGTTGCTTGTGGCTTGACACAATTCCTCGTGGATTCTGACAGCTTTCACACAATTGTAAGAAAACCTCCCTTAAATATCAAATTAGCGCTTATTATTACTGTAAGGCTCTCATCTTTATATGGGTAGTGAACACTGCAATGGCCAGTCACTCTCTGGCTCAACACATCTTCCCACGCACTTCTCACAGGGGCCTCTTCGTCCTGACACAGTTGTATCATCGGGTCCCATTCTCACAAAATATCATTTACAACTATTCCTTGGGTTTGAGATCCATTCAGAGGGTTAGCCCCACCAACCAATATTTTGTGATCTAAGTTTCGCTTGAGAATTTTGAATGCTTTCCTCCTACCATACTAGTGTTTAACCAGGTGTGTGGGGGGGCGTGGCTTTAAAAGAAATCAGATGGATTACTTCAGAGCCACTGAGCAATTAAACGTAGCCCACTGAAAGAGGCAGACATATTATGTAGAAGGCGTTTGGCCACCTGACTGTTGAAGCTACTGGGGCGACCTGATTAAAGTCCTGTTTGCCCCTTTTGAATGGCACGTATCTCCGATGGAATGATTCCTGAGCTTAACCGCCCTGAGAATAAAGCCTGTGGTGGACCCTCTCAGCAGCACGCGCACAGACAGCAAAGTGTGTCCATTCTGCAGTCCTGAGCTGGTGTGTTTATCGAGGGCCCCTAGCCGTTTGCAATTTCTGTGTATAGGTTTGAAACCTGGCCCTCAGGAAGGAGGCTGCAGCTTACTCTACTGTGGAATGAAAGAAAACCCAGCCGAAAGCGTGTGGTCTGAAGAGTGGACCATGGTTTGGTCAGCAGGTGCGGATGCTCAGATGCGTTCCACAGGAACCCAGGAGGAACCTGGGTTACACAGACTCAAGTGGAGGAGTGCGGCAGCCTTCTTCGTTGTGGTAGGGTCATTATTTGTTGAGTGACTAATAGAGTGAGTCCGTGCAAACAGCTTCAGAAGGCTAGTAGTGAGGATGTCAGTAGACAGCAAAGGACCGGCCAGACTAGAAGGGAGAGCAGCCTGTGAGGACACTCAGGCACGGGTCGGAAAGGCCATAGAACATGCCCTGATGATCTGCAGACGGTTGCAGCGTCGGTCACTGCTGCATTCCAAAAGCACACTGGACAGGCAGAATTCGAAAAGCAAGTGGTCACCTGGGGGCAGTAAATGACCTCCAGAGACCCTGTGGAGCCTGGGGTGGGGGTGGAAGGCTCGGTCTGATGATTTCTCTTAGCTCAGTTTATCAAGGAATTGTACTTGCCTTTTGCCCATTGAATCAGCCAAGACCTGGACGTCAGAGACATTAACACCGCAAACTCAAGGGGCCTTTGAGTGCCCTGTATCTCTCTGTCCCTCTGGCCTCCCCCAGGTCTCGCCCTCTGCTTGTTTCCTGCTTGTTACTTTCTGGAAGGATCAGTGTCAGCCAATAGCTGACGTCATCCCTGATGCATTTACCACACAGCTGTCTCTTCACAAACCATTTCAAACTCTATTCCTCAGAGAAACAGTAAAATTGTGTGATTAAGATAAGACCTAATGGGTTGGCCTGGAGAGATGGTTCAGCGGGTAAGGGCTGCTCTTCCAGAGGTCCTGAGTTTAATTCCCAGCAACCACATGGTGGCTCACAGCCGTCTGTAATGGAATCTGATGCCCTCTTCTAATACTCCCATCATGCAGGCATACAAGCATGCACATACGTAAAATACATAAACTTTTAAAAAGACCAAGTCTGTGCCAGCCCAGCCCCCAGTATGGTTGGTGGCATTTTGGTTGCTTCCAGGAGACAGGGAGGGCACAGCCAGGACTGGGGCTGCCTCTGGTGAGTAAGCGCACACCTGTGGGCCAAGGCTTTGCAGAATCACATTCTCACGGTGGTACCATTTCCTTCCTGAGTTAGTACCACCCCCTCCGCCCCCGCTGCCCTGGTTTATTAGAAGTGGCTGGGTACTCTTCCTTACAATTGGTAAGAAGAGACCCGGGCTGGCTGAAGAGGGTCCTGAAAATGGAGGAGGGGATGAGGAGACATTAAGGCAGGGCTGAGGCTTTGGTGAGAAGGGCCATAGTGCAGCCCAAATTCTATTTCCTTGGCATGGTGGCCCTGCCTGTCCCCACTTGCCCTCCTACCTCTCACATACGTATATCCTGCCCCACCTCACACATACACATGCGCACGTACACATGCACACACATGCACACATACACACACACACTAGTTTGGGGATGTGTAGCTCCACTCAAGGATGGTCCAGGAGTGGTCAGCATTATGGGAGGAAAACCTTTACCTCTTTATCACCCCCCCCAACTCAGGATCCCCTCTCCCAGCTGCCATCTCCTGTTCTGCCCCCCACCCCCACCCCTTGTTCACAGCGATGTGTACCTCTATGCCACCAGGCTGCGTGCTCTTCTGCATTTGTGACATACACATGAACTATGAACCGCTTGGGAGGAGAATGCAGTTCCGCACTGGCCGTGCTCCGTGTGTCTCGGGGAAATCTGCCTGCCTTCTAGAAAGCATTGTATCTGTGTTAGGTTTCTGGGCCTGTTGCTGGTACACAGTAGCCATAAGCTGCCTTCAAACACACGTTTATTCTCCCACAACTCTGGAGACCAGAAGTATGAGACCAAGGTGTGGTCAGAACACACTCCCAAGGTATCTCTTGAGTATCCTGTCTGCCTCTTCCAGCCTCTGGGGGCCACCCTACCTCCCATCTCCTCCTCTCCCACCTCTTTCCCATGTATCTCTTTTTGTCTTTTCTAAGGACCCCAGAAATATCCACAGTGACCTATCCTCTCAGGACCAGGAGCATAATTTAGTCTGCAGAACTCTCACTGGTAGCCCAGGAGTGGTCAGGGTTGAAGAGGACAGAATAGCCCCCAGTGCCTTTGATCTGCCACCTGTACTGGGCCGAGGGACCCGTCCCCCCTCCCCAGCTCCTAGGAGCCACACTAGCCTGAGTATTGGGGTGGAGAAAAAGCCAAGCCCCTCCTGATAGAGCTCTTCTCTTATAGCAATGGACTTCGGGAAGCCTCCATTTCCTCCTTGGTAAGGCGGCTGCTAACAGTGTCTATTCCCGGGAACTGTTAGGAATGGATGGGAGACCACACATATCTGTCCGAAAGCAGGCCTCCCTGCAAAAAGCACACTAGCAAACTACCATCTGTTTCCCAGCAACTCCCTGCTCTGCCCCATCCTCGGCCTCCTCAGAGGTGGTCAGTGGGGGAGCTGTTTGGGGGCCACTGGCTGTGACCACCTGCTTTGTCTTTTCTCCACACAGTGAAACATTGACTTCCCAGAAAAACACTGTGATGACTTATTCTCTGAGATTTCAGCTCTGATTGCTTCGGGAGGAGCCCACCTGGGCTGAGATCATTTCTTCATTTTGTCCTTCATTGCTCCCACAGGACAGAGCCTAATCTCAGTTAGACCTTTTCCATTACACAGGAAAGAACTGGCCAAGCAAGGAAGGCAGGGTCCTTAGCACTCAGTCAAGAATCTGCCCCAGGCTGAGGGTCCCTTCCTTTCCTGCAGCTCTGCTTCTCTCTCCTGGCCGCTTGAACATGTCGGAGCCAATGAGGGACAGATCTGGCTTCTCCCCGAGGGCAGACACACAGGGGACCTCATGGCACTGGAGGGCCTGGTAAATGCTGGGCCATTTGAGCTCGGGCACCTTCCAGCGAGGCTTTCTTTGTGCTGGTCGCAGTCTGGGGGAAGAGGACAAGTGTGAGGATTCTTTGGGTGTCTGGAGACTGGCAGCTACAAGAGCCCCCAGCTGAGCATGCCAGCATCCCTTCCCCTTGGCGGTTGGTCACCAGATCTTTGCTTCTGGTCATTTCTAGTACCATGGAAGGCCAACTGCTCCCACCTGTTAGGATTCTTCTCTGGTTCCAGCCGCTCTCCCACCCACCCCGACACCATTTCAGTCACACTGAACTCAAGTGCAGGACTTGTCCCTTGGCTTTTCCTTTAGGGCTTTGCGCCTTTATATTCTTACCGCTTCTCTTTTTAATTTCTTGAAAAATATTTTTGTTTTATGCATATGGGTTTTTTGCCTGCATGTGTATCTGTGCACCATGTATGTGCTGTGCCTGTGGAGGCCAGGAGAGGGCGTCATATCCCTGGAACTGGAGTCACAGATAGCTGTGAGCTGCTGTGTGGGTGCTGGGAACCGAACCTGGGTCCTCTGGAAGAGCAGCAAGGGCTTTTAACCACAGTCATCTTTCCAGTCCCCTGGTCCTTTATTTTTAATTGTGGTATAAAACACATTGTATAAGTTGGCCACCTGAACCAAATACACATTTAGTACATGCACACTGCTGTACGGTGGGCTACCATCAGCATCCATTTCCAGAACTTTGTTTTTCTTTTACTTTTCTGAGACAGGGTCCCTATACAGCCCAGGGGGCCTTTTAAACTCCCTATAGCTGAGTGTGACCTTGAACTCCTGATTTTCCTGCACCCACCTCCCAAGTGCCAGGACTGTATCTACGTTCCACCATATTTAGTTCCCAAACTCTTCCACCTTACAAAACGGAACACACACACATGAAACAACATCCCGCATCCTCTGGCCTGAACAGCAGCTGTTCTGCTCTGACTCTAACGAGTCTGATTGTTCTGCGTGCCCCGTGCCTAGGAATCAAGCAGTGTCCGTGATGTTGTGGCCGGCTGTTTCATTCAGCACAGTATCCTTAGGTTCATCCACGTGGTAACGCCTCTTCTCCTGTTAAGCCCCTTTCAAGTGGCCACATCCTAGTGTTCACGCTAATATCTCTTGGGCATCAGCATGAATTCTCTCTCTCCCAGCATCCCAGGTACCAGTGTTCCCACAGTGCTTCACGCTCCTCCCATCGTGCAAGAACCAAACGACAAAGCCATGGAGGCTGGAGACCTGTCTTTCCCTCTTGAGGACAGACTCCTCTCTGCTTGTGGATGTGTCCCCTGTGCTGGAGTACAGTACAGTGTAGGCACAGAGCGGTGCCCAACAAATATGGTGAAGCCAATGTCTGACAGGCTTTCCTCAAAGGCGCTCAGGGATGACTTAATAAAAACAAACCTGAATGTTCAGGGAAATGAGGGGTACGGAACTCTGCTTCCTGCAACATGGTTTGTGTCTGAGCTCTGCTGCCATCTTGGTCCCTTGTTCTCTGGCCTGCCCTATAGTCTCTGTCCAAAGCGAGTCTATTCCTCCCTGCACTCCGTGCTCACACGTCCTCTTGGGCCATCTGGTCCTGGTACCATCCCTTTGAAAAGGATTCCCAGGCATTGTCTCGTGCCTCGCCTCACACTGCTGAGCCCGGGAAGCACCCTCCCCCAGACATCTTCCCACCATTCTGTTTCAGCTTTAAAGGGACCCCAGGCAGAGGTTGCCTGAGTACCACTGCTTGGACTGTGGTCTGTAGGCTATGGATGCTTGATTCGTAATCCTCTGCCACTTACCCAAGGCATCCCCATGTTTAGAGCAGGTGCGGTCTCTGTCTTGCCTTTTAAGGCTTGGTCTCAGAGGAGAGCTATAGGGGAGCTGAAGAGCAGCGAGGAGGCCCTACCCGTGCCTGGCCAGCTACCAGTGATTTAACTTCAGCTAAAAAGCATGGCCTCCCCAAGCCTCAGTTTCCTCTTCTGTGGAGATCACCAATTGGGTGTCCTCCGGGGAGGGCTATCCTGAGGGCTGAACAAAGTCCTTGTTGTGGAATATTCCTTTACACTGTGTGAAGATGTCACTGTGAGTGGTTTGATAAAAAGCTAAGTGGCCAATGGCTAGGCAGGATTTTCAGGGCAGAGAGAATGCTGGTAAGAAGAAGGGCGGAGACGCCAGGAGTTGAGATCCAGACTCAAAGGAAGCTCGGCAGGTCGGCGACGCCAGGAACGTAGAGCAAACAGCATGGAGGTCACAAAGTAAAGGAAACCGAGCCGTGTGAAAGAGCGTAGATGAAAAGATACGGGTTAATTTAAGTTAGAACAGCTAGTTAAACCAAGCCTAAGTGATTGCCCAAGCTCTCATTTAATAAGTCTCTGTGTTGTTTCTTGAGAGCTGGCGACCCAAAGAAAAATCCATCTATAAGTCCTATTGAATTTAACGTCTGAGATGGCCTCGGGTGGGCAGTCCTCCACACGTGGGCTTCATTAAGTCAGTCGTGAGAGGAGCACCTTGTCCTATGAGCTATAGATGAAGTCCTCCCACCCCACCCCGAAACTGTGATCTCTTCAGCTTTTTGTGTATAGCCAAGCTACCCCCTGGAAAACTTGATTTGACTTCCAGGGAATCTGCTGTGTAGAGTATCACTGCAGTAGACGCTTGCTCAAAGGAAGTGGTGGTCTGAGAAACTTCATCAGGACCCACCCTTCCAACGCTCCCAGCCCTGTGAACGCTCCCATGTGCTAGACAGCAACAGTAGCCTTCTGCCTGAATGGGGAGAGCCGTGTGCTTCGCACCCAGAGTGAGCTGTGTCTGTCTCTAAACCTGTCTATGCCTCTTGGAACCTGGTTATGATTATGAATGTATCTGAACAGAGTGAAAATTGTATGAATGGGAAATAATGGGAAAAGCAAAGACGTTTTTGTGGAAGCTGTGGGAGGGGCTTTGAGGTGAGTAGCTGGAAGATGACGGAATCGAGGACAAACAGCTGTCAGAGCCTGGGGAAATTCTAGACATTGGGAAGAACACTGCAGCTCCATGCTTTGCAAACAACTCCACGTTCCAGCTTTGCTTTTGTAAAAGCAGAAATCGAAACTCATTCGTAATGCAGTGGGCATCCAAAGACTGGTGAATCAACGTACAGTCTTCACGTTGCAAGCTGAAGTAAAAGTTCGACAGAATGTGTGTTTCATTTCTAATGTTTCCTGCCTTAAAAGGCATACATTTTGAAATGTGCCCAACAGCCACCAGTGTTGATGGGGTAGCCCCACCCAACAAACTCAGCGCCCCCTTTTTCCTCTACCACTTCCTCTCACTTCACATTCTGTTCTTTTCACCTTGCCATAAGCAAACACGAAGAAGCGAATTTAGAGCGAACTCTGCTTTGCCATTCTGTGCTGCTACTGTTTGAACCCAAGAGTCATAACACCTACCGTTGTGGCCTTTGGCTGCACTTGCTCTTGATGACATTGGGAACCTTTGCCCACCTCATCTCCCTACACCAGCGTCTCTGAGGAGAGAGGCAGCTGGAGGCAAAGAGGGCCTGGAGATGTGTATAAAGATCGTCCTGCAGCTGCTGGCTCCCTGCTAACCCCATCAGTCAAGGGTGGAGAGGCTCACGGTGTCAGCGGACAGGGAAGGAACCTCCATTTCCAGTCTCCAGCCCCAACGCACCATCACGTCTGCTGTCTTGGTATCCCCCATACTTTCTTGGGACATCACCAAGTATATAAACAGGAAGTTGAAATGACTTACAGTCACATTATCTACAGCCCAGGCCTTTGTGGTTTTCCCATGGGCTAGCTATTTGATCCAGTCAAACTTTGAATTCGTGGCTTCCAGACACATTCTGGCATGCTACACATGGTGGGTGGATCTTCCATGTGACAGTCCCTTTAATGCTGACAGCATCCAAAGCATTTTTACATTTTTAGCATCTGGGACAGAACTTAGAAGTTGTCTACCAAAAACCCTTTCTCATCCTTCGTGCCTTCCTTAGTCATTCATGGCCTCTGTTGTGACTAGCCTTGGCTGTGTGACTAGGCTGCTCCTTAAGATGTAAGCAGAAACTCCTAGAATATTCCATAAGGAATGATCCAGCTGGAAAGTGGATGCCCTGCCCCCCCCCCACTCTTATGCCTCTGTTTGCACTTTTGCTGTATAGGTGGAAGGCAAGGGGTTCCTGTAGCTGTCTTCTCTGTTGCCAAACTGTAGAGATGGAAACAGGCCTCCTAGGGAAGGAACTTGAACTCTTGACGACTGTCACACATGGTGAGGATGGGGCCATCACTCACCCAGGTTCTAAACCTGGATTCTACAGTGAGAGGACACTGAAGGGGCTGTTTCCCTGGGTCTGGGTCTGCTGGTGACTGGGACCTCGAGAAGAACGCCTCAGGGAGCTGGGGAGGAATGTCATTCACTCTGCTTCTCTCGAACCTGCCATAGTCCAGCACATGGGGACCTGGAGTGCATACAGGGCTTTGAGGTGCCCTGAGATTTGCAACTTTGGGGGTTCTGGGACCTTCCTTTTCACCCCATGTCCTCGGGGAGCCATAAGGCCATATAGGGCATCTGTGTGAAAGAGGGTAAGGCTACAATGCTCCTTGTGCTGCTGAGGCCAGCAACACCAGCTACAGAGCTGGCGGCAAAGATGGATGATGTGTGGGCCTTGGCCATGTGTGGCAGTCAGATAAGATAGGGATGGGGGCATTAAATCACACTGATAAGACACACAATGGGTGACCCTTCGGTAGTGATCTCACAGACTGCGGGAGCTTAGGGACAAGGACCACATGCAGGGAACAGAGAGGGCTAGCAGGCCTCAGCCAGGAATGGCTGCCGCTCTATTCTTCCCAGGGTGGCTTCCTGGATCCGCCTGATTTTCCAGACTGACCTGCCGTGGCAAAACGCAGACCAGGGGCTTTTATCTTCTTTCGCCTCTGCTTCACCAGTGGGACCTCCTGGGGAGGGAAGGTTCTGGGTCTTTGCAGTCTGGAGGAAGAGGACAGGGGATGTGAGATGTGAGAACAGGAACCATCCATGACCTCTCTAGTAACTGGGACTAAGAGCCACCTGTGCGGCGCATGGCTTTCCTGTGTTACAACAAGACTCGGGCTGGCTGAACTGTCCAGACGATAAGAGAACTTCCCGTGGAGCGTTAGTGCCCTGTCCCGGCACCAGTTAGCAGGCAGCATTTTCCCATGAGCTCTTCTCAGCATCTAAGCCAGTTCACTTTGACTGTGCTTGCCTGCTGTCTCTTAGCATCTTGGAAGAGGCACTACCCACCTTTACAGTCCAATGAACACATTAGGTTTTTCTTTAACAGAGATTTAGACAAGCACACAATTTTTTCTAAAGATTTATTTATTATGTATATAGTATTCTGTCTGCATGTCTGCTGCAGGCCAGAAGAGGGCACCAGATCTCATTACAGATGGTTGTGAACCACCATGTGGTTACCAGGAATTGAACTCGGGACCTCTGTAAGAGCAGTCAGTGCTCTTCCTCTGAGCCATCTCTCCGGCCCCCAAGCACACAATTTTTAAGGCTGGAAAGAAACTTCTAGATCATCTAAACCCACCCTTCATTTTATAGCTCAGTAGAAGGGACTGCTGGAGATCACATGACTAACGAATCAGTTTGATATTCGAACTCAGGGATCCCTCTCTCAGGAACAGCAATAAAACCCCTTACTCTGCAATTTTACCCTTTTGATTTCTGGTCCAAATATACCGTACAAATGCTCAGGGGTTTGTTTTCTGCTTTTTATCTAAGAAGTAACTTTGCGGTTTTGAATGATAAGTTTTGTGAATTTGAATACTTGGTTCTTGTCTTAGTTATAGTTTCTATTGCTGCAATGAGACACCATGACCAAAAAGCAGTTGAGGAGGAAAGGGTTTATTTGGCTCACACTTCCATATCGCTGTTCATTATTAAAGGAAGTCAGGATAGAAACTCAAGCAGGGCAGGAACCTGGAGGCAAGAGCTGACACAGAGGCTTTGGAGGGGTGCTGCTTACTGGCTTGCTCCTCATGGCTTGCTCAGCCTGTTTTCATACAGATCCCAGGACCATCAGCCCAAGGATGGCACCACCCAGAATGGGCTGGGCCCAATCAATCACTAACTGAGAAAATAGCCTTGAGCTGCCCCCTTGCAGAAGGAAGTGTGTCATTGGAGGTGGCATCTGAGTTTGAAGACTGGCACCATTTCTATTGTGCTCTCTTGGCTTGGGAAGCCTTGTGCCATTTCTAATGCTTTTTTTTGGGGGTGTGGGGGGGGAGCTCACATTGTACACCAGACCAGGCTGGCCTCGAACTCACAGAGATCTGTCTGCCTCTGCCTCCCAAGTGTTGCAATTAAAGGTATGCACCACCACACTCGGCTTCACCGCTCACTCTTGGTGCAGTGTTTAGGATGTGAGCACTCAGTTCTGCTCTAGTTGTCACGTCATTGGCTGCCGTGTCTCCCTGGCATGATGAACTCTTATCCCTCTGGAACCAGCAGCCAAAGAAAACCTTCGGCAAGTTGCCATGGCCATGCGTTTTTATCACAGCAGTGGAAAAGTAACTAATATGAACTTTTGACAGGTTTTCCAAGTACCTGCTGCAGTCCAACTGATCGGAATATTTTCTTAGACAAGATCAAGATCCCCCAGGAAGACTTTGCTTGCCCTGGAGAGCAAGCACACTGCAGATTATTCTGTCACACTGAGCACTGAGCATCCTTCCGCTTCTGCCTCCTTCCTCCTCCATCCCTCTTCCTGCTGCCCCCTCTCTCCTTGCCTTCTCTGTGTCTTCTTCCCTCCTCTCCTCCAGGACCTCACCCTCATGCCCATCCTCCACCACCGCCCTTGAACCTGAAGTTTGTCTACTCTTTAGGTCTGCCTCTGAGCACAAGAACTGGCTGGGGCTTTGTCTCTTTTCTGTCTTTCTCTCTCTTTTTTTCTCTTTCTCCTTTCTCTCTTCCCACCTCTTCTGAGCTTTTGTTTTCTAAATTGTGGGCCTATCAGCATTAATTAAGACATTAGCATTCTCTGTATTGAACACCAGCTGAAATGACTGTTTCTAAATCAGCCAACAATGCCAGCAGCATTCTAAGTCTCCCCAGACCTCCACGGTGTGGATAGCCTTGAGAAGGAGATTGGAGCAGCGCTCCAGGTGAGGCGGAGGCTGCTCCAGTGTGCTGGCCTGGATCCTTTGTTTCTATTTTGAACACCTCTGGGCCTCTAAGCTGGAGTCAGTGGCCGGGTTCTACTGGGGGATCTGTATTCTGTGAGGCTGCCGAAGAAAAACCGAGTTCGTGATTCTGCCGGCAGAGCAGGTGTCCTGCTTTGAGCTGTGACAGAGCTGGCCAGCAATCGCTCATGAAATGACCTTCTTTTCAGTTTCTGAAAGGGCAGGCATTTCTTGGCAAGCCATGTATTTCATGGGAGCTCTAAATCAAGGCTGCATCAGCCAGGGCCCTCTCCGACCCTCTTGCTCTGAAGGTAACTCTCATTGGCTGGTGACTCACATGAAGATGGTCAGCGCTTCCTCTCAGTTATTAGGAGCCCCTGCTTTTGAACACATCTCAGCATAAAGTATGGGCTGTGCGTGCAGGGTCTGCCCTTCTCAGATGTGGCCCTTGGGTTGAGCATGCTGCTGTGTCTCCCATGTTCCAAGGCCTGGGAAAGCTGCCTTTCTATAGGCAAAAAGAGGAAAGTGCTGGGAGAACCTCTCCTTCATCCCACGGGGGTAGGAGTCCTCCTGGTCCGTATCAGTGCCATGGCCCAGGATGGAGGGGCACGCCCTCCTTCCCCTGTTGCCTTGGTTCACCAGATCATGCTTAGATTCTCTTAGCTTATGTGTGCACCCCGCTGACCAGCCGAGAACCCACGAAGAGAACACAGGTAGCTGGTTCAGGCACTAACCTCAGACAGGACCTTCTCCTCCATCACAATGTCCCGCTCCTGCTGTCCTCCCAAGCACCCAGCGGGAATATCTGTTTCCAGTACTGGGTGGGTGGGCATGCTTTGAGGGTCTGTCAAAATCTCAAAGGGCACTCTTGGGTGACTCCAGGAGGCAGGGGTGAAAACATCCCAGGGGCGACTCTGCCCAAAGGTCCCTGGAGAAATAAGGATAAAAGTAAACACCAAGCAAATGACAATGGGTAATCTGTCTCCTAACCAGAGCGGAGCTTACTGCTCATGTGGGTAGATTGCCTCCAGACTGGCAAGGCCACCTCAGTCCTGCTAAGCTATGCCCTGGCAGTTTCATAGGAAACAAACATAGGACAACTAAGCCTCCAAAGAGAATCCGAGAAAGCCTCCTGCCATGCAGGTGTGCTGTCTACTTGATAATGTACTAAGAACTTGAAAGATAAATTCAATCAGTCACAAACCTATTTACATAAACATAAGCTATGGGCCGAGACACCATACTCAGATAGACCACAGTCTCTCTAAGCGGCGGACTAGGCTATTCTTGGTACCATGGTCAATGTATGCCAGGCATTTGCCCACCATATAGGCTAATGTCCCTGCATAGATATGATTCTTATGAAAAAACATTTTCATCCCAAAGTGACAACATTCAGCTCACTGACTTCGATGAGTTCAAAGGTCTTTGATTTTTATTTTTCTAATTTTGGAGACAGGAAGTTAATGTTACAGTATAGACCAAATCACATCACCCCAAAACGTGTATATTGAAGCCCTAGCCCCCAAAGTGACTACATGTGGAAACAGGGACCCTGGAGAGGTAATTAACTTTAAATAAAATCATAAGACCTAATAGCATTAGTGGTCTTGTGGAAGCACAATTAATAAAAGCTCAGAGACTCATACTGGGGTTCAACCTGAAGACCCGCCCAAAGAACAAAGCAGCCAGTCACTGGCTCTTACGTCGACTGCAGTCTGAAAATGGCAATCCTGCCTCCAGGAATCTCAGAATGAGACTATATCTGAGAGCTGCCTCTTTCCCATTTTATAATCCCCTCTGGGGCCGAGATTAAAGTATGTACCACCACTTTCTGATTTCTAAGGCAAGCTAGTGTCTACTGGGACTAAAGGTGTGTGCTATTGCTGCCTGGTTTATAAGGCTGACCAGTGTGGCTGTTTTGCTTTTCTGATCCTCAGGCAAGTTTTACTTCTTAAAATACGAGTTAAATGCCACTACACTTGTTGTCAGAAACAATAGGGAGCTGTCTCCATCATGTGTGGATCAAGAGACCAGTGCTCTGATACCCAAGATTCCTCACTAGAACCTGGCCATGTGCAGACAACCATCCTGGACTTCAAAAGTCCAGAGCTGCCCTGTCTAGGATACTCTGTTTATGGTGGCCTCAACAGAAGATCTCTGACTCCGTGGCTCCTTTGGCTCCAAGCGAGCAGATGCGGATCCTTACCTATGTATGCACCATCTTTGCTCCACAGGCGCACAGTGCGGTCAAGGGAAGAAGACAGTAAGATGCTATCATCCTCTATCAGCTCCAGACTAGCAAGATAAAGGGGGAGAAGAGGGTTCGTCAAGGCTGCTCTGCAAGAGAGCGAGGGACATTGGGTCCAATGGAATAGAAGTCAGAAGTCAGATTAATCTTTTATAATTATTTCTTTTATCTCATGTGTTTTGGTATTTGGCTTGCATGTATGTCTGTGTGACGGTGTAGGATCTCCTGGAACTGCAGTTATAGACAGTTGTGAGCTGTCATGTGGGTGCTGGGAATTGAACCCGCTCCTCTGAAAGAGCAACCAGTGCTTGTAACCACTGAGCCATCTCCCCAGCCCCGCCAGATTAATTTTTTTTAACTTTATTTGCCTTTATTTCATGCGCATGTATAATGATGTCAGATTCTCTTGAACTGGAGCTACAGACAGCTGCGAGCTGCCATGTGGGTGCTGGGAATTGAACCCGGGTCCTCTGGAGGAGCAATCAGTGCTCTTAACCACTGAGCCATCTCACCAGCCCCGCCAGATTAATTTTTAAATGCTATTCTTTCCCCCACCTCCTCCCACACCACGCGCCCTCCAAAATCCCTCCCCCCCCAGTCCACTTCCAAGACATAAAGTGGGATCCGTATGGAAAATCACCTTGCAGGTGTTCAGGTGGGCGGGAGAACAAGTGGTCAAAAAGAATGATCTAGCAAGTTTGGCCTCTCTCTCGGCACGAACTCCAAACCCACTAAGCTCATAAACTTGCAGTAGACTACCAGTTCAATAGAGGGAGAACCGCCCATGAACAAGAAAAACAATGACTTGGAACCTCTTCCTTCGGCTCCATGTGGACCACATTCAACTCACTTCTTTGGGAGCAGAATGAAAATGCAGTTTCCTCCTTCGACAAGCTCATGGGGATTTTGAGAGGACTGCCTTGATCAAAACTTAAACTATTTCCCTTCCTATGGAGATTACTAAGCCCTTCAAAGGGATGGTACTCACGATGTCACCATGCTGACGTGAGCCCTCCAGGATGTCACCGCTAAGTGAAAACAAAGAAGACATCTGAGTAGGACCCTGCTGGAAGGAGTCCAGCGCAGATGTGTGCCCAGAAGGAAGTGGCACCGATGGGCTGTTAGTAATCTTTCCGCGTTAGTGCAGACCAAGTGCCTACTATGTGCAAGCCCTCCACCCCCCATCAGCTCTGAAAGTGTATGAATGGGACCGGTGTAACACACTAACGCCATGTTTTTCCTTGGTGATTTTTATATCGTGCGTGTATGTACATGGTGAGCTTGCATGTTTGCAAGAATGTGGGTACAAATGTGTGTGTGGTATGTGCATACACATGTACAGATGTGAAGACCCCAGGTTGATGTTGGGTATCTTGCTTTATTGCTCTTCATTTAACTGAGGCAGGGTCTGATCTAGCTAGCTGGCTTGCCCCGGGGGTCCTCGGTCTCTGATTCCTGAGTGCTGGGACGGCAGGTGGGCCATTATACCCACCATCCTCTTAGGAGAGAGGGGATGTGTGGGTGTGCGCACCTGGCTTTTAAATACAAACTGTGGTCCTCGTATAAGCATTCGGTGTCTCTGATAAGTAAAGTGTTGTTGTGCAATCTTGCAAGTAAGGCTCTGTGCATGTTTGTCATTTCCTTCACTAGAAGCAGAGGTGCCATTTGCAGCACTAGACACGGGTGGTCAACACGCCCCGCAGTCACCATCTAGCAATCACCCTCTGTTCAATGCTATCTGACGCCCCCTTCCCTGCATCCTTGCTGGCATCAAATGTTCTCAAGAAACTCTCTTTCTGCGAGTCTGCTTTCCAAGGGCTTTAAGAGTAATCCCTCCCCAACAGGGACAACTTAATTTCCCCATAAGACCATCACATGAAAACCAAAGCAATCTTATCTGAGGCTTAACATGAAGAAATTCACTGCCTACTCTTGGGAGCCTGCAGCTCTGGTCCCCGGAGGCCGTACTCCTGGATGTCATAGACATGCACAAAGCCCTGCTGGTCGGCCAGGTAGGTGAGGGTGTCTCCTGACGTCACCACGATGCTGCTCACCTGGGCTTTCCCTTTGGACTGAGACACATTGAAGGCAAAGATAATAAGAGGGGAGAAATGTCAGGAGGATATCACAGCGAAGCATTAGAACCCAGCCGACAATCCCGACCGATTTATAGGCTAGCGTCAGGGAACGACAAACAGCAGCAGCAACAACAACAAACCCATAGCCCGGAAGTTACCCAGTTGTTCCCCCAACTTACCGGAGTGAAGTTTGCAATGAGGCCAGCACCACTAAAGAGCTTCCAGAAAGTGACAGAACCTGAGTAGGAAGGAAGCTGTAAGGGGCGGGCTGCCCAGCCAGCCGAGGGTTCTGAGCGGGTACTGGGCAGACCCGGTTGCCTTGGAATATCTGTTTAGCCAGGCAAAGATGCTGCATTTGTTAACCACGTAAAGTTGTGCTGTGTTTTCTTTCGTTACTTAAGTAAAGTTAACCTGGGCTCAGAGAGGTGCCATTAGCAACTGGCTGGCAGGCAGTCGCAGGGAGGAGCTTAGCATGGGTTTTTTTAGGTTGGGGCGGTGTGGAAGGAGCGGTTCCAGGATGCCAGCAAAGGGAGGAGGGGTAGCCAGTTGCTATTTTAACCCTCTGAGCTCACAGGTTTTCACCCTAGCCTTTGAATTTGAGTTTTATTAGAATGATAGCGATTTGGTTAGTTTGAATCTGAGTTTCATTAGAACGATAGAGATTTGGTTAGTTTGAATCTGAGTTTTATTAGAACCATAGCGATTTGGTTAGAACTACCTTTTGAGCCATCATCTGGGGGAACAGAGCTCCCGCAGGCTACATACTTACAGCCTTAGCACAACAAGCCACTAGCAGTTTAAAGGGGGGGGGCAAACATCTCTTCCTTCTTTGGTTTATGAGGGATTTAGATTTTGGTGATTCGGTGTTGTCTCCTCCACTAATCAGGGTGGCCTCCTTGGCAGAGGAGGGTTCCATCTTTGGCTGGTAAGGATAGGACAGTATTTGCCTGGCTGGGAATTAGTGTGTGGGAGTGTGTTCACTATTTTAATTAGTTACTTGTCAGAACGGACCTGGTCTAGTGGCCACAGTTCGTGCCTGTGGTTTATGTGTGGGTTTAGGTAGCCAGGCTCTGTGAAGTGGGGCCCCATGCAGACCATCTCCTCTTCTCTTAGGAGAGAGGGGGCTGCACTCCCATAGGTAAAGCAGAAAGGATGAAGATGACTCAGGAAGGAGTCAGAGACAGCTGCCCCGCCCCCAGCACCCTCTCTCCTCTCTGCAACAGCACCTGATGCCAAAAAGAGCTGCAGTGTGGGCTGGGACCAAGAGGCAGAGGTGGTCTCTCGCTGGTGACAAACAACCAAGCACCCGGGTACCAAATATGGACAGCCTAGCCTTCCCCTGCTACCAGGACTGCATGGTCACTGCCTTTAACTTGTAATTTTACTAAAAGACCTAGAGCGTTTAGGGGCTGGATTTGGGCCCACTTTTATGACAGTTGAAGCTTGGAGGGCCTGTCCCTGGGTTAATGTCACTAGCTAGTGATGGCCCCTCCTGAGTCCTCGCTTTCTTCCCCATAGACGGTGCCAGCTTCACCTCTGACCCCAACACCCAGCCAGCTCTTGACCCTTTGGCCTTTCTCTTTGGTTCCCCTGTGAGGTCACCTGTGGCTGCCTATTCCGGCTTCCTTCGCACTGTTGAGTTTTCTCACACTGTCCTTGGGATGCCTGAGGTCAGTTACCCTCGCAGGTGGCCAGGGACCCAGCAGGCAGTAAGAACAACAGGGTGTGGAGACTTGATTTGAAGGAAGATGGGCTGGGGCCTGGTTACACGGCTGCCCTCCTGTAGCGTCGACTGAGGTTGATGCGGGCTGAGGTGTTAGCCTGGGATTTGTTGGTAAAGCCAGCAATGAGATAGCAGAGGAAGCCCGAGGTGGACAGTGGCACTCAGGGGCCTAACTCACTCATCCTGGACCAGGATGGCCTTCTCTCAGAAATGAGAGGCTTACCTCCGGGCCCATTGCTGATGAGGGAAGCAGCTGTTGAGTCCAGCTTCCTTGCCCGAGTCTTTAGGAAGGCCAGTCGAGATACACTTCTGTCTGGGCCTGGAAACGAAAGTTTCTTTTTCTTTGGCTTGTTTCACAATCTCGCTGCCTTAACATTCCCCCCTCCCATTGTAGCTCCCCCCATCGAGTATGTGAGTGTGCATGTGCACGCACACACGTGTGTGCGTATGTGTTTCTCTCTTCCCTTCGCCATTCCCCTTCCCCTCTCTCTGTCTCTTTCTCTCTGCCTTTTGCTCACTCGCTCACCCTCACTGACACATACATTCAGCTCTCTTGCACATAGCTGCCCCGGAAGCGTTTGGAAAGCAAACAGAGAAAGGTGGCCCTCTTGACTAAGAACCAGTCAGGAACAGAAGAAGGATAATGGCTCTGTCAGTCTGTGGGCACTCCAACCCTTCCTCCCCCAACCCCAGGACTTTTAGAGAAAGAACAGGAAAGTATCATGAGATACAAGAACAGGTTGAGAGCCTGGTATTGGCATAAGAACAGACAGGAGGACCAATGGAACCGAATAGAAGACCCGGATATCAATCCATACATCTTCGAAACCTGATCTTTGATAAAGAAGCAAAAAATATCACATGGAAAAAAGAAAGCATATTTAACAAGGGGTGCTGGCATAATTGGATATCACCATGTAGAAGAATGAAAATAGACCCTTATCTATCACCATGCACAAAACTCAAGTTTAAAAGGTTCAAAGACCTCAACATAAAGCCAGCCACATTGAACCTTATAGAAGAGAAAGTGGAAAGTACACTTGAACTCATTGTCACAGGGAACCACTTCCTAAATATAACCCCAGCAGCACAGACACTGAGAAAAACAATTAATAAATGGGACCTCCTAGGACTGAAAAGCTTCTGTAAAGCAAAGGACATGGTCAATAAGACAAAACTACAGCCTACAGAATGGGAAAAGATCTTCACTAACCCCACATCAGACAGAGGTCTGATCTCCAAAATATACAAAGAGCTCAAGAAATTGGACACCAAAAGATCACATAATCCAATAAAAATATGGAGTATAGACCTAAACAGAGAACTCTGAACAAAAAATCTAAAATGGCTGAAAGACACTTAAGGAAATGTTCAACATCCTTAGTAATCAGAAAAATGCAAATCAAAACAACTCTGATATTCCATCTTACACCTGTAAGAATGGCCAAGATCAAAAACACTGATGACAACTTATGCTTGAGAGGTTGTGGGGAAAAGGGAACACTTCTGCATTGCTGGTGGGAATGCAAGCTGGTACAACTCCTTTGGATGTCAGTGTGGCGATTTCTCAGAAAATGAGGAAACAACCTTCAAGACCCAGTAATACCACTTTTGGGTATATATCCAAAGGATGCTCAATCATGCCACAAAAACTTATGTTCAACTATGTTCATAGCAGCTTTGTTTGTCATAGCCAGAACCTGGAAACAACCTAAATGCCCCTTGACTAAAGAATGAATGAGGAGCTGGGCGATGGTGGCGCATGCCTTTAATCCCAGCACTCGGGAGGCAGAGGCAGGCGGATCTCTGTGAGTTTGAGACCAGCCTGGTCTACAGAGCTAATTCCAGGACAGGCTCCAAAGCCACAGAGAAACCCTGTCTCAAAAAACCAAA